CCCTCACCCCGAGATCATTCTCTCCCTCCTCCTCCAACTCTTCGGAGCCCAGGTCCGACATGGTCTCCCCTCGGCCCGGATCCCGGCCGCGGCGTCCTAACCAGCGGGTACCGCCACCTACACCGGCGCGTCTGCGGTCGCCATGGAGACAGCGACCGGAAAGGTGGAGGGAAGGGGCGGGTCGAAAGGCACCGGGAGGCGCCCGTGGCAACCCTCGGGAACTCCCCTAGCAACGGGAAGGGCGCCTGAACCAATAGCCGTCCAGGAAGATGGAGGGGGCGTGTTTAGAGGCGGGGCATGGAGTGCGGAGACGAACCAGGGACATCCCTGAGATACGGTCCCAGCAACGTAGAGCGCACCTCGACCAATCACCATCCAGGACTAGGGAGGGGCGGAGCCTGGAGGAATTGGTACCTCTGGGTGCCCCGGGTCTGTGGTTATTTTGCCCTTGGCTCCTGGACCAACTCAGGCTGCTGCCTGAACTGGACCCTAAGAGGAAGGGCGCAAGCAGAAGGCGCACCCCACATTCTGTCCTGCCTCCCGGGGATGCTGCCCAGCCCTCTGACCCGACGTGTGGATGGTTCTGGTGTTTGTACTCTGTCTCAGCTGGAGGAACCGGCCACGCGCACTTTACGTGGGTGAGGGTTTGAGCCCTCCCGACCTGGGATCGAGTCCCCACCTCCCCCTCGTCCTTGGCTGAAGGCCCGCCCCTCTCAGCAAGCCCACAGCTTACTGGTGCATTTGCTTATAGTACTCTACTGCTGGGCTGCTGGCCCCACCCCGCCCACCGCGGCCCTCTGGGGCGGGAGCTGTGGCTTGGTGGTCAGCACCAACCTAGCAGGACCCAGTGCCTGAGTTCAAACTCCAAGACCACCAAGAATATATACGCATGCAAGGAAGGAAGAGAGGGAGGGAGGGATAGAAGGAAGGAAGGAAGATAGATCACTCATTCCTCGGAGATTGGATGATAAATTGCTGCTTCTCAAAAAAAAAAGCTTGGGGGTCGGGGGGAGGCTGGGAAGGGATGGGAAGGGTAAACAAAGGAGGAGGCTACAATGCTTGATAAGAAATGTACTCATTATCTTGCCCGTGTAATTGTAACCCCTCTGTACAGTATTTTCACAATAAAAAAACATTTTTAAAAAAAGCTCTATATTCATGATGAGGGGCCCTTGAAGAGGAAGAGGGGAGCAGGGTCTAGAAGAGGGGGGCTTCATCCCCAGCCTTCATCCACTGTAAACAGTCCTGCAATGAGATGGGTGGGCAGACATCTCCTTGGCAGAGTTCTTATTCCTCTGGAAATACGCCCACAGGTAGGACCGCTAGGTTGTGTGACATTTCTAGTTTGAATTTTTTAGGAACATCTACAGTGTTTTCCGCAGTGAGTTTAATTACTGTATACTATGAGAAGCCCACTATTTTTCAGTGCTTCATTCTAAATATTTGACACCTCCAGCATGTGGCTTCCATTGATCCTTTCAATTGGACGCAATCACTGTCTGTTAACCCCATAGTGCCTTAACCCGTCTTCCTCATAGGTACCAAGTTCTGGCTTCCTGTGGTAGGCATCTGGTTGGTTGTCTTTGGTCTTTTGCAGAAGAGTAAGAGAGCTTGCTACAAAAAGAAGAAATGACTTCAGGTATGCCCAGATTGGGGGCTGTTGACCTGGAGATGCTGCGGGTCAGCTAACTAGGAAGCAAGGCCTCATATGATTGTCTAAAGTACATACTTAGCTCTGGTCGGTCCTAAGTTGAAAATGGGGCCAAAAATGAGGAAACGTGCATTACTCAAGTGGCAGTCATTTTGGTTGTTGCAAGGATTATTCCTGAATTTTTGTTTTTGGTGGCCCAGGCTAGCCTTAGCCTTGTGAAAGCTGGGATTACAGATGTTCACCAACATGACTGGCTGTGCTTCCTGGATTTCTGAGTCAGCTGGTTTCCAGTGACCCTGTCTCCGAGAGCAGGCTAGATGATATGGATATGGTTTCCTTGGATGCCTTGCCGGACTGCTGCAGGTGGGTGTAACGGCTTTGTTGTGACACATGGTCTGGCCGTTGCCCATTTGCATAGTCAGCCTCTCATCTATTTTTGCAAATATATACTATGTTTTAGCTCAAATCTAAATATGACATGGCACATTCTTGGTTGCTTCCAAAGGTAGAGAACATTTATTCTGTCAAGGCCCATTGGGATATTTATAGCATCATTCACAGGCCATACAAGATTATCAGTAAAGGCATATGGCTGTGGGCAGTGAATTGGAAGTTATTCAGGAAGCATATGTGTCTCCTGTCAGGCACCAAGTGACTTTACAGGCCTTACACAGCTCATGCACTGGACATTCCCTACTCCTGCAACAATAACACAATCATGTCAATGTATTTAACCTAAAAGTAAAAATAACCAACTGATCTAAACAGCCACTGTTTGGTGAAAACACTGCTTTCAGACGGCCAGAAAGCCCAAGCTCCAAGTCTGGATTCCCAGTGCGTTTTCACTTTGGTGATGTCAAGCAACTCACCTGCCTTCCAGCCTCAGTTTTGCTTTTCTAAACTCAGAATAATAAACTCTTCAAGTCTCAAAGGGCTGCTGAGAGGATCAAAGATGATATTTTCTTCACATACTGTAAGTTATTGTTATAGCTACAATATTAACAAGGAGCACATATTAAAAGGAATCTCCTATCAGCATAGAAAGTTCCCGCTCACAAAGACCCACTGTGGTTACAGTCCTAAGCTGCAGGACTAGGGTATAAGTCTGGGTAAACACAGGCTTTGATCTTGCTGACAGCATCACAGGTGCTAAACCCATGGAAAACAATGCATAACCCTCCAAGCATTCGTACACTCCAAGTCCTTTCTCTCTCCTGCTCTGCTGTAAGGAGGACTTATTTTAATCAAATCCTCAGATCCAAATACACTGCTTGCCTAATAAGATACGAGCAGCTCCACACATGTAAGACCCTAAAAATTGTATTTTAGCTACAAGATAAAAAAGATTGTAAACACCCAAATTTAACAGCTTTCCTGGGACACAGTGGGAAATTAGGGATAGCAGATGATTGTTTTTTCAGTATTGTTGGAAGTTTCCACATTTGTTACAATTGAGCATATCTTATTATTGTAACAATGTCCAAAGGTATTATAAAGGTTAGAAATCTGAGATGGGGTCAGAAAGACGTGTGTGCCTGTGGATTGTAGAATGGGCAGCAACTTCCAGCAAGACGGATTCAGGTTCCTGTCAATCGCCTACGAGGCGATTAAACATCATTGTGCGCTTATAAACTTTACCATTTACATAGCTACCAACATACCTTGCCGGGGGTGCGGCTGGAGTGGTAGAGTGCCTGAGTAGCAAACATGAAGCCCTTCCAGCTACTTCTGTGTAACCATATGCATGGAGAGAGGAACTTGCATAGAGTTGAAATGGAAAATTTCCTTTAAAAAAACTCACCTGCCCAGCATGCCCGGAAGCCTGGGCTCAATCTCCACATTGGCATTTAGTAGGTAGAGGCCAGACCCATGATTAGAAGAGCCTCTCTGAAGTCAGCTTAGCACTGTACAATTGTGTAACCACTCTCTAGCACATGTGTGAGCAATAAAACGCGAGGCTTATAAGGAGTGTAGCAGTGCCTTGTACACTGTGTAAAGTACTCACTAAATTCCAGTAATGACACTGTTGTCACATTATTTGAGTGCAGGTTGGAGGGGTTGGACCTAGGTCCTCACAAACACACATTCTAGGCAAGTGCTCTGTCACCGCACCTCACCTCCAGCTGACTGTTCCCGTTCTAGGCAGCCTCAGGATGTTTGTGTATCACGGGACTTGGGGAATTGTATGACATTTAGGGAGTTTGATGAAGAGAAAATGCCAGTTTCTCTTCATTGTTTTCAACCATGTTTCTTCCATGTAGAGGCTCAGCCTCCCTAAGATGCTGGAGCCAGAGAATTCTGACCATCCAAAGTTGGTATATGAAGAGATTACTTTTTTTGTTTGTTTGTTTGTTTTTGGATCCGGTCGTGGGGCCTGAACTCTGGGCCTGGACGCTGTCCCTCAGCTCTTCAGCTCAAGGCTAGCGCTCTACCACTTGAGCCACAGTGCCACTTCTGGCTTCTTTCTTTTTTGCTTATGTGGTGCTGAGGCCTCGAACCCAGGGCCTCAGGCATGCGAGGCAAGCACTCTACCACTGAGCCACCTTCCCAGCCCCATGAAGAGATTACTTTTTATACTCAACATATCCACACGAATGTACAGAAAAGCGATAGATTGAAATTTCTAGAATTTAGATGTGTGGCTTCTTTAAGTGCAAGGAATTTCGCTGTTTGAGAATAGTTTCTCTACTAGAATTGGCAACCAACAAGAAAAAAATAACCAGATACATGTACTCACACGCACACACAGACACACACACACACACACACCTACTTTCCTACTTTGGTACTGGTATCAGACAACCTGACTCTTGCCAGCAATGGTGTTGAGAAATCATTTAATACATGGAGCCATACCTTTCCATGGCCTAGGAATACAACATGTTCCTTGAGAAGGGCAGGGAGGAGTGGCAAGCTGAGTGAGCTGGCCGTAGTCTCCCAGAATAAGGACCACTCTGCCCAACTTTTAGGAAGATCATAAGGTTCAAACTAGATAAGGGGGGGATACGAATAAGAGTTTCCATGGAAACTTAATGTGCTTCTATAGAAACTTAATGTGTATTTAGCTCAAGTTTTAAGCTCATTTTACTTGCTGCAGACAAAGGAACACATGTTCGATACACCAGATAGGTGGCGGGGTGATGCGGTGGACAGCTGTGAATGCACTTCCCCGAACAGATGTGTGGCCAAGTGAAATTACGTCAAGCCCCTGCCCTGGTTAGCTTTGTCCATGGCTCAAGGTTAGCTCTCTGGAATTCAAGCCTATAGAATGGGGGACCCCTGGGCCAGGAGGAGGAACTGTAGGACTGTCTACTCTTACCAAATGGGGCGTGCTAGGGGCGTGCCCTCCCCCCTCCCACGGACACGGAAGCGTGAGGCCCCCTGTCCCAGAGCTAGCTCTAGCCACTTTTCTCCTTTGCTACCCGGGTGGGTAACCGAG